GGAAGTGCCTTAGAAATGTCGTGCTTATCTGAGGCCATGAGTTGATTGATCCTGCTGAAAGCGAACTGAACCATCGTTTGGCATGAGCGGTTAGGGTTACTGTCAAACAACGGCACTTGGCCAAATCTAAAACATGGTGAAGCTCCATCAGGTTGTTGAATTCATACAAGTGATCTTACGTATCAGAATTTCCATCGAACGCCCGCATGTCGGGCATTCTAAATCTTGATAGGAGTCAGACGGCTAACACCATCGAAGAAAAGAGAGACGTTGATGCGACCTGCCCTTGCTCATATTGCTGAGCTTTTAGCTGGTCTAGAGTTCCCTGCAGCTCCTCGAGTTGGTCGATCCTGGGCAGGGGAGCTATCTGGGGAATTCTTTCGCCCATGCGGGTTCGACCCTCACGGTTGTGATTGAGGAAAGTCCAGAGGTCGAATTCCTCTTCTCCTCGGCTAGCAGTTGTGGCTGCTCTCGACGCACGCTAGCTAGAGCCGTGTGATGGCGATGAATGGTGCATAGAATTTTCACGACCTCCATGGTGGTACGAACCGCCCCGCGGAATGTGGGAACCTCTCGCACGACTATGATTAGGATTGTTCCCCTAGCGGTGATGAGAATAGCCCTGCCCAATACTTTTATGGGGATTTTCATGCGACGTGGCATGGGATGGCTAGAGCTGTAACCTTTCACTGAGTCTCAACGCCACAGGTATCCTACTCAGGACGTGGTCGGTGTTCGCCGGCCCTTTAGAGTTCTTAGGCCCATTTTTCACCACTTGCTTACCCTTCATTTGGCGCGCTGTAGTGCTCGCGGCACAAGCTATCGCCCTTTGCCGTGCTTTTGCACAACCTGCAGGTGTTTTTGGCGATTGCACCGCCTCATTTGATTTGGGTGGCACGCCTTGGTCCAAACGGTCCAACCTTTGTTTGACCGTTTGGAGAGTATTGTTGAACCTCTCCAGGTAGGTTATGACGGCAAGGTCAAGTTGTGAACTTGATGAGATATCCCCCGCGACATTCTGCAGAACAGAAGGTACCTCGGGGGAGGTGTCCTCCTGCATTTGGGGGATCTCCTCAGCACCCTGATTGGTCCGCTTAGGTTCAAGTAGCTGAGCCATTTGCTGTTGTAGGACTAGTAAGTTAGAGATTTCCTTGATGAAGGACGAATACTAAATCAGGCCCTCCTTCTAGCACCAAACTGTTGATGCGTGATTTTGACACCAACCAAACGCATATGTGAAATGCTGAACTGACCCAGAAGACACACGTGGATGAAAGAATAAGAGTAAAAGAAATGACTAGACAGTGTTTAAAGTGGTTCGGATGCTTAAGGAAGCAAGTCCTACGTCCACTGATGTTGTATTAATGATAGCGGTCAGGTCGCATCCTGCGAGCTGATTTTACAAATGATTACAAGGAAGAGAGAGAGAGAGAGAGAGAGAGTAGGCAATTTTCTAGAGAGATTTGCTCATCCCCCAAATTGAGAGAGGAACTCTCAATTTATAGTGGGATAGATTAAGGTTATGATTACTGAATCTGTGAGTTGGTGGGATTATCCGTACAAATCTTCCTTTATGTCCCATTGCCCACCTTCCAGAGCGATTTACGCGATTTGGTGCAGGAATTGGAGACGTGGAAGCTCTCTAGCTCCTAACTGGCCTGGCGCGCACCCACTGCACTGACAGAAGCGTGCTGCTCCTTTCATCACGTGAGTCGGCTGCGAGTATACCCAAGTTCTGACTTTTTCATGCTGACCTGGCCTTACGTCAGCCCTGCTTTCTTTAGGCATAACATTATGAAACTTAAGAACTTAATCTTTATCAATAATTAGAGATGGCTTTAAAGGGCAAGCTAGAGTTTGAAGTGAAATTGAAGGCAAATGCTGATTAAATTTACCAAACCCCTAGAAGACAAAGCCATGAAATTCCCAGAATGTCCTCTGACAAAGTACAAGGTGCTCATATCCAGAAAAGAGATGGGAAGTCCAAGGGATCTGTCAAGAAATGGGATTATACCTTAGGTAATTAAATTTCATTATTTATTATAAGCTTGTATTATTAAATTAATTGGTAATTATTTTAAAAATCAAACGCAGCCTCTCGTGTATATATATATAAAATTAAATAAATTAACGATCAAAACAAGAATTTTTTTTTTTTTTTGTAATAAACATGCTTACATAAACTTTTATGTACAATATTGCATATGTATTATTGTTTTGTCATCGAATTTAATATCTTTAAATTAGTTTATTAACTGAAGTCTTTTATTTTTTTTATACTTCATCGATCTAATTCTTACAGAAGAATTTCTATATTGATTAAGTGCAAGCATGTACTCATTGATTCTTAAATAAACTTTATCCATGCAAAGAATTAAAAAGGGGCATGCATATTGATGAAACAATTATTAATTATGTTAAATAATGTAGATGGAGAAGAAATAAGCGCCACGGAAACAATTGAAGCAGCAGATGACAGTAAAAAGATGATCACATTCAAAATTATGGAAGGAGAAATTATGAAGGCTTTCAAGAACTTCAAGGCAACTGCTCAAGCAATACCAAAGGAAGAGAGATGCCTGGTGAAGTGGATTTTGGAATATGAGAAATGGAGTCAAAATATCCCAGATCCAGTTGACTACAGGGAATTAGCAACAAAGATCTACAGAGATATGGATGGTCACCTCGCACCAAATTTTAATTAAATTAACAATAATATTATGTTTACAAATTTGATATTTCAACTTTAGATCCCAACTAATGTGGCTATTGGTGTATCAGGAATTCTAGTAATTGCGGGAATAACAAGAACACTACACAAAATTTTACAATTAAGAGATACATCAATAGCCACATCAGTTGGGATCCAAAGTTGGAATCTCAACTCAATTTAATTTGTATACATAACGTTACTGGTAATTTATTATCCTAGTAGTATTTGTCTATAAATAAGTGCTTGGGGTTTTTCTTTTCTTATTTCGGTTGATTCATCTTCATGCATAATTTGTGCTTTCAAGATACATATGTATGGTTCTGGAGTCGCTGCAATTGCTACAATGAAATATTGTTATATATACATACAATATTATGTTAATATTGTCAAGTTTTTGGTTTGTTAGAGAATGATGTAGATAATATCTCTCTTCATTATCGTTATTATTATTTTGAATCCGATATTTGGTTCTGTTACAAGCAAATTGAGCTAAAAAATAAAAGGTAAAATTTATTTTTAAAATAAAATAAGTAATTGATTCGTGATTTAATAAGCGAAATGCTTCTTGAACGTAATCAAAATCCTTTACGAAGAGTGAGGGATAAAAACTAGGTTTAAAACGAAAACATAGTCAATTAATTTACATGATAAACCATTTATTGCATGTAACACTCAATTAATCTCCATTGATAATTAATGGCAAAATGCATCGGACATCTATTGATAAAAAGACTAATGCAACAAATTCGGCTAAAATTTTTAATCTTAAAAAAATTAATGGCGTTACTTTGCATATTCCTTCTCTTTTTGAAGATTTAGAATTAATCTTAAAAAAATTGGCAAACTATTAATCAACCTTGTCCGTCCCTAGATTCATTAATTTCCATATCATCCAGCATCTTTTATTATTTGAACTTTCACCTGAACAAATAAATATTTATAATTGATAGTTATAGAATTGAAATATAACAAACAAATCCATAAATAAATTAAAGTACTATAGAGTTAAAGTCTAATCCCCCAGAGATATAATATAATTACAAAAGCTCCCTGAGGTTTATGAAATAACAAAAAATTCCCCTGTTGTTAAGTTTTTGGTGTTAAAATATACAGTAAGAGAGCAATTTGGTAATATTACTGATTTACTACCTTTGTTTCACAATAATAGATGTTTTAAGACTATGCACATTTTTTAGTGAAACAATTTTCCCTCTCCTCTTGCTAACTCCTCCCTTTGAAATTGCAGGTGGGAAATTTTCGGTTTTCCCACTATATACAAGTGAGAAAGAGAGAGAGAAGATGAGGGTCAGAGAAAAAGTAAAAGAAAGGAGACAGGGGCCATTCATCGAGAAAGGGAGAGAGAGTTGAGTTGGTCAAATTTTTAGAAAAATATAATAACCTTAAAACAATCATTATTGTGAAACGGAGGAAGTATAACAGTGTAAATTCTTACGGTTTATTAACAATTCATTAATGGCAAGGAGATTTTTTTTATTTTAAAAATCTCATAGAAATTTTTATTATTATATCGTAACTTGAAGGAATTAATGTTATTAACTCTTAAATATATACATCACAACTTAAAAACGATGTATGTGATGATTTACTGTTAACATTAATTGAAAGGAAAGGGACTTTGATGCCTTTAAATGTTTAGTTTTTGAATTTTACGTAGATTTAGGCTTTGAATTTTCTTTTTTGATAACTGTAGATTTAGGTTTTTAATTTTGATGAATTATTTACCTACTGTTATAGCTGAAATGTGTATTGCGAGTTATATGATATCAAATAGTATGATTTACTGTAGCAACACAATACATGCAGATCACTCTCGATCGTAGTTGCAAATGTTTAATTGTGAATCATTTTCCAAAGTATTATGTTCTAAGAGAAATGTGTACTTGTATTTTGCTTTTGATTTAACTCTTAAGCTTGCCTACTTGTGCTTGTAGCATGGCGTTACTTTGCATCTTCCTTTTCTTTTTGAATATCTAGAATCTGAAAAGTGGGCAATTGCTAATCAACACCTGTCCGAACAAATAAAATGTTTGTGATTGATAGGTATAGAATTGGAATATAACAAACAAATCCATAAAATAATTAAAGTACATTTGCATCACAAAATCCCTAAAAGTTCAGGAAAAAACTTAGATGAGGAGAATATCTTGTTTCATGATTCATATAAAGTACTTATTCTGTGGACAACTTCAAGAATCTTATCCGAAATTTTGCCCTTTTGCAACACTGAATAAAGGCATAGAATCATATAAGGCTAAGAGCTAGGAAATTCTTTTTCTCATCCTTCGGCCTCTACAAATCTTATTTGTTCCTTTGATTTCTGAGTAAAAAAAAAACAACTATGGCCAAAATGTCGAAGATGGAGGTCAAAACGGAGGTGAATTCCTCCGCCGAAAAGTTTTATAATGTCTTTAGGCATGAGGTTCAGCTCATGCCCAAGATTATTCCTGAAAAAATAAAGGACGTAAAGCTTCTTCAAGGTGACTGGGGCACTGTTGGCTCAGTCAAACTTTGGACCTACGTGCCTGGTAATGCAAATTAGCTCTTTATTATTATATTCTTACATAAAAGTCGGATTTATAAGCAGAATTCATCTTTATGAAATGAATTTTTTTTTTTTTTTTCTTCAAGTTTCTTTATTTGTATTCTATCAAAAATTTTACAAATTTGATTACGAGTTCCATGTTCTAGCAGAATTGATACTGACATGCTTTCATCCATGTGAAAAACATAGACAAAAATGCAGTGGTTGTTAAGGAGATGATAGAAGCAATAGATGATGAAAACAAGACGATCAAATTCAAAATTTTGGATGGAGGTATCATGAAGTATTACAACAGTTTCGAGTCCACCATTCAAGTAACAGCAAAAGAAAAAGGTAGCTTGGTGAAATGGGCAGCAGAATATGAGAAATTAACAGACGATGTCCCAGATCCAAAAGGTCAACTTGATTTTGCTCTTGAACTTTCAAAAGACATTGATAATCATCTTCTTAAGGCATAGAATACCGATGGCGTTGTGACAATTTGTACTAAATTAATTTCTTGTATTAATAAATCCAGTTTCGAACTTGGATTCGACAACAGATTAATGATTTTATAAGATAAAATTATTAAAATAAAACATTAATTGTGGAGCTTGTAGAAGTTATGATGAATATATTTCAAGATATTGTTTCCGAAAAGACGTGCCACCAAATATGGATATTTGACANTGGAATTACAACTTGGGATGATTAATAACAATGATATGGGTCCTTATATATAGGCCCCAAAAGTTTCCCACTTTTCAATTCTAATCAATGTGGGACAAACAACCTTTTCTTGGCCTATTACATATAAGTCCCTAAACCTTTCTCTATTATCATTTCTACCCCACGTGAATTTGCTAAAAGCCATTTTTCAACATGGGGCACTGCTGGCTCAGTCAAACTTTGGACCTACGTGCCTGGTAATGCATAATTAGCTCTTTATTATTATATTCTTACATAAAAGTCGGATTTATAAGCAGAATTCATCTTCATGAAATGAATCTTTTTTTTTTCTTCAAGTTTCTTTATTTGTATTCTATCAAAAATTTTACAAATTTGATTACGAGTTCCATGTTCTAGCAGAATTGATACTGACATGCTTTCATCCATGTGAAAAATATAGACAAAAATGCAGTGATTGTTAAGGAGATGATAGAAGCAATAGATGATGAAAACAAGACGATCAAATTCAAAATTTTGGATGGAGATGTCATGAAGTATTACAACAGTTTCGAGTCCACCATTCAAGTAACAGCAAAAGAAAAAGGTGGCTTGGTGAAATGGGCAGCAGAATATGAGAAATTAACAGACGATGTCCCAGATCCAAAAGGTCAACTTGATTTTGCTCTTGAACTTTCAAAAGACATTGATAATCATCTTCTTAAGGCATAGAATACCGATGGCGTTGTGACAATTTGTACTAAATTAATTTCTTGTATTAATAAATCCAGTTTCGAACTTGGATTCGACAACAGATTAATGATTTTATAAGATAAAATTATTAAAATAAAACATTAATTGTGGAGCTTGTAGAAGTTATGATGAATATATTTCAAGATATTGTTTCCGAAAAGACGTGCCACCAAATATGGATATTTGACATAATATTATTCACTATTTATTTTGTTAATATTTTACATGTGTAATAATATTTGAGATCAAAAACAAAAACGATATATAACTTGTTTGTTAATAAATTTTTAAGTCTGAAATTTATAAGATTGATATTCACTTAAATGCATAATTCAAAATAAATCATAATATACAGTTTGCAAATAAGACGTGTCGCCTGCTTGAAGGTCAAATACAATAAATTAAGGACGATAGTAGCTATTAAATGTATTTTTTGATGTATAAATATCATCAAAATTTTAAAAATTCAATGATCTTAAAAATAAATATTATTAAATTTTTTAATGATTTTATAATATGTTTAAGACAAGATAATCCCACTCGTTAATCGAACCCAGGTTCTTTCAACAGTATACTTGGAGTTGGAGGCATCAATTGATTTTTGATAATTAGCATGTAGCTTCCGGTCTTATTGGACATATTTACCGATTCAGTCTGATCTTATTGGATCTGTTATTCGTTAATTATTTCTTTATTATATAGCTTTAATTATCGTGCCCTTCTCTTGAATCTTTCGCAATCATTCACCCAATTTCCTATTTCAATGAGTATAATTATCTGACATGAAAATGTCCCCTGATAAGATTGCGCCCACACGTTATTTTTTTAATCGATTATTATTGATCTGCATTATTTCTTCCTGTACATTCTCTTATCGTCCAGTCGATTAAATATTAATATAGCAAAAACAATAAGAGCTAACAATTGAAAAAAAAAAAAAAAATAACTTTTGAAAAATTATAAACACGGGTTTTTATATTACTAAAATCCTAATATTCATAAATTACTGAAAATGGATTAAATTTTGAGGTAAATCTTTGCAATTGAGAAGTATCGTATGAACAAGGAGAAACTGTTGGGGATTGGTCAAACTAGTTTAATTTTGGATTATCTATTTTAAAGTACAACGGAATGTTTACTAAGTAGATTAAAACATTTTCAGGTTTTAGCCACATTAAATACAAGTGCAGGAAGTAAAGAATACCATCATTTACATGGTTCGACTAAATTCACTTTTAGTCTACATCCATGAGACCCTGTCTAGATTGAAGCAATCCACTAATGTAACACCCCACTTGAGGTACGTAGTTAAGATTTGATGAATGGTTCGAATGTTTATCGATTTATCCTTAGTTGAGTCTGTATGTTGTTATTATTGATTGGTTTATCCTTGGATGGAAAGGTGTATTGGTTTGGTTGAGTGTTTTTCTTGAAGGTTAGTGTGATTTAGCAAAATTTTAGGGTTATAGTCTTCGCCGGGGCGAAGAAATTTTGTCGCCGCGGCGAAGAGGGAGTGCTTCAAACCCGGGTGCCTCTGTAGTTTTCCCGATGCGAAGAAATACTTCGCCGCGCGAAGACTCGCTGAATGTTCCCTTGAGTTTTTGAGATTTCTTTCTTTTGAGACTCAATGACCATTCTACCCCTTTTAGCAGGAAAGTGGGAGTGAATTGTAAGGAAAATTCATGGAGAAAGTTTGAGTGGGGTTGTGTTTGTAAAGAATGAAAGGTCTTAGAATTTCAAAGAGTGAGTAAGGGTATTTTGGGAAAGAGTGGAGAAAAATATGTGATATTAAGGTTTAGCTTTAGAAACCCCTTCATTTGTGTTTTCTCACCACCGCCTCTTTCATCCCCTATTTCTCTCAATTTTTCATCCAAGATTCCAAGGATTCTTGAAAAGCTTTTGACTAGAATTTGTTACAAATTGATCCTAAGTACTAAAAGGTAGATTCCTTACTCTCGAAGCAATTTTCATTTGTTGAAAGATGGGTCCTTTTTTTTATTAGTTTGTATTGAAGGTTAGAGAAAGTGTTAAGCCTCAGAGTGGAGAGTTTAAGTGGGTTTCTACGTGTCCAAGGTAAGTAAATTCATCTAAGTTGTGATTTACTTGATTGAATGATGTGTAGAGAGTTTTAGATCTATGATTAATGCTTGAATTGTTTATGTTGAAATGAGTTGATGAATTCATGAATGGGTTCAATGTTGTTACATGAAGGATTTTCCACCATGAGGAGGTGGATTGTGTTGTTGAATTGTGATAGAAGTATGGGTAGAATTAGAAGTAATTGAGAGGAATTTTTGGAAGTGTGTTCTCTTTTGCAGGATGTGTGATGATTAAAGGAGTTGAACTCCAATTTTGGATGGTTAAGAAAGAAATATGATTAAGTTAGATAGAGTTTATGTATGCACACCTATTGTTTGATGAAGCCTAAAAGAAGCAAATTAGAATTAAAGACCTTACCTTATGCAACGGCATATTTGCATGTCATGAGCATATAGGAGTTTTTATGCAGAGTCATCCATATGCATATGTTTAATTGAATAATTCATAAGAAAAATATGAGAATGAGAAGAAACACTCTATGATAGAGATAAAGAAAAGAACAATTCTCTAGAGTAAAGAGAAGAAAGAACTCACACTAGAAGATAAAATGATTCTTAAGTACTATAGAAAAGAAAAACTAGGTCCGCGCGATGAGAACTCGTGAGTATAGAGTTTCCTCATGTAAAACCGTTTAGAAAGAACGTTCTCCGCCATGAGAGAGCGGAGTGCTTGTAAATCGCTATGATAAAAGCATCTCCGCCAGGAGAGAGCGGAATGCATGTGATCCGTTATGAGAAAGACGGACTCCGCCATGAGAGAGCGGAATACACGTAAACCGCTATGAGAGAGAGAAACGTTTCCTCCGCCATGAGAAAGCGGTATGAAATTGAGAAAAAGAAAAGAATAGAAAGAAAAAAGAAAGAAAATGAGAATTGAATTAGAATTTTGATAAGAATACAAGAGAATTGATGAGTAATGCACGGGGATGATAGCGTAAGAGACTGTTTTACTTACTGGCGCATCTTTGTGCTCACTCCGTTGTTTTCTTTGTTATACAGGAAATAGGTGAGGACTTTCGGATGGACGTCGCAAGCAGGGAGATTTGGCTGCACTGTCCCTTTTTCGTTTTGTTTCGAAAGTCCTTGTACATATGATGTTTTGTTTGAACGAATGTGATTACTAAGTAAGGAATTTTTGGGCCCAACTTTTTTTGATAAATATGCTATCTTTTATTAATCGATATTATAATCTGATAGAAAGAAAGTAGTTGTTACATTTTTGTATCAGAGCAATGATTTTGGGATGGGACAGTGAGTCATTCTCGCCGCTACGACGAGTCTTATCCGACCACTTGTAAGTTAAATCCTTTTCTTATTAATGAATTATTTGAAGTTGATGTGAAAATGGTTATTTTGTAGATGAAACGTAGTAATAGAAAGAAGGTAAGGTGTGAGAATGAGGGAGAACCCTCTAACCCCCGGAACAAACTCCCCCTGCCCTTGATGCGACAATGATTCGAACCATTGTACACAGGTGTTAGCAGAAAGTCAGGGGAGATTGTACGGAGAGAAAGGAACCCCTAGAAGAGTCCCGCCCGTAGGCAAAGCCAGAAGGCCGGTACCTCAGATAGTACAGAATCGAGTGGATCTGATTCAGGGGCTTGCAAGTCAGCATCGGCCACCAGAATTCAGGGTACTAGAGACCCGTTAGAAGCTGAAGAGTGGTTTAAATCCGTTGAGCGGCAGTGCCCTGTTTCCCATGAATGATAGAGAGAGGATCAGCTATGCCGTTTTTTATTTCGGGCCGATGCCCGAATTTGGTGGGAATTGATGGAAGAGACTCACGACACGAACCATGACTTGGGGAGATTTTAGAAGAGTGTTTGAGACCGAGTATCGAATGGTTGACCGGTCCATGAGAAAATACAAGAGTTTATTAATCTGAGGCAAGGGATGAGCACAGTGAAGGAGTATTCAGTTCGGTTCAACTCTCTCGCGAGGTTTGCACCTGGATAGTGAGTACACCCGAATTGAGAAAGAGAGAAATTTGTCCTCGGGTTGAGGTCAGAAATAGCCCGCGATGTTATATAGGACGACCCCCCGCATACCTATATGGAGGCATTAGATCGGGCTTTGAGGCCGAAATTTATGTGAACAAGATGAGTTCGGAGGGCCA